GCGATCTGCGAGTTTAGTGCAAAAACGCATGATCGCACTGGCAAGCCTGGTGCGTTCCAGCCTGGGATATGTTTTAAACCCGTTTTGATACTCTTGTTGAGGGTGGATGGTAGGAAATTGTATGTTCTGATCGAACTTCTGGACTCTTCTGCAATACTTTTTGGCGCCGTATGGTGATTAAGCAGCATTTAAATGGTTTCATTATGGTAGCAGCGTTCATTTGATAAATACAACGATTTGAATTTATAATTAGCAGAGGAATAGGGATGAGGAAGCTCTCATCATGCTTTTAAAGTTTGTTGTGCCCGAGTAAGTTATGCCAGTTTAGTGAAGTAGATCTCCTCAGAAATCATCAAGGTTTTGTTGAAAATGTGGTCGCAGTCAGCTCCAGTTTAATCGCACCGCATGCGTTTTTTCGCTAGTTCTGTAGACGGTCGCCACCTAATATATATAGTCTTGATTCTTAAAACTCATTCTGGCATTAATAAAAAAGTGGTTTTCGGACGGTGTCACTCGATGCTTTTTGGTTTTTCAGTATTTTCGCAGCAGCGTTATCTCGGTACCCGTGTGAAACTTCTTTATTTTTCTGTACTGTATTGCTTATATTTCTGGATTTTAAATTGATCAAGCACGCATTCAAGTATTCATCATCACTCAGCTGATAGTGCGATTAAGCCCTTAGGAATGCTTTCTCAGTTATCAGAGCACTTGAACAGCAAGCTGGATAAACTGAACCAGTCGATCAATTCGGCATCTTCATCACATCCATCAAGCGCATCAGTCTGTAGCGACAAGTTAAAAGGTATTAAGCGACAAGTTCGTCGCTTGAGCTCTCCGGCGCGTAAATTGAGCAGTCCAGTCGCCCAGGCTGGGTTTTCCGGAGCTCGACGGTTTTCGCAATTCGTTTCCGGAATCAGTGATTTTGTCGATCAGGAACTGGATCTTGGTGCGTAATATTTATTACCCGTCAAAACTTTCTTTACATCATAATTCGTGGATAATCTTGTTGTTGGTGTTTTTAAATAGCAGTGTTTTTCAGACTCCATTTTTTAAATTTTCATTGGTGTCATGTATCGTTTGTTCCTGCTCAGTTTAAAATCTGTGCTTGAAAATGCTCCTTCTTTCACTGGCCTTCTGATGGTCGGTTGATGTAAGACATGTGAATGCAAGTCACGATTGCTCCATCTCTTTGTCACTTTCAGGCCTTTATCATATTTGTTGAAAGTAGTACCGTCTGAGTTTTGAGGAAGGTCAACGTTTTTCTCCGATTATATTGATAGTATTTTTAGTTGCACGGCGCAAAATTGACCGTGAATTTCTTTACTTAGATTCTTCATTTATTTTGGCATGCGTATGTACAAGATGGTTGGTGTGGCTGAGCTTGATAAGTGTTGTGTAGTGTTCTTGTTACACTGTTTATAGTAGTTTTGCTGTTATTACGTGATATGGCAAATGTGTGTGTGT